GATGTGTTGCAGATGTTATTGAAAGAAGTTGTTTACTGTGTTTCCCCTGAACCAACACATCAGTCATCGGAGAAGGTAGGTAGTATACAACTTCCTTATTATGATGTCAGTCAGTATTTTTATTTTTCACCATCTAATTTTTAAAAGCTTCAACATTGTTAATGCATGCGCAGGAAGACAATAGGTATTTTATCTTGAATGTCATAGTTTCAGAGATCTTCTTTTGTTTAAGTGATTGGTCAGCTCCCCCATCTGTCTTTCTGGAAAAATTCCTGGTGTTCCTTGTAGATGCATTGTCTGAGAAGGTATGTAGTTTGAAGCATGTTTCTGATATTATAAAGATTTTATGGCAACTAAAAAAAAAAAGAGAGATTATGAGCCATTAGAAGGCTCCTCTCATGTGGTCAAGTGTGGAGTGAATTGGCATCATCATAACATAATATAATATAATGGCACTTGGAATATGCACAATTTTTGCAGGTCTGTGGCACTGGCAAAGCATTTTTTCAGAAGCATTCACTTCCACTGATTCGTTTCATTCCTAAACTGATGATGCAAGTGGATGATACTTGGAAATCACACATTCTCCAGGTATGATAGCTTAAGCATGTACAATGTAGGCATAAGAGGGAGAATGATGCATATGCATATATTTCAGGCTTTTACAGAGGTTTTCAAGAAGTGTGATCCGGAGTCTTCAATGAAATTAGTTTGTCTTTCAGCAATCGAAGAAATGCTGTTTCCTGTAAGCCTGGCTGGCTGGCTGGTTGTATGTTTTTCTTAATCTGTTATCCTGGCTGAATCTATATAGTTTGAATGATATATATTATATATATATATATTATATATATATATATATATATATATATATATATATAAATATGTATCCAGAAAAACACGTGGGCAAATGCAACAAGTGATTCAGAAATGTTGGAGTTCAAGATTAGTTGGATAAGAGAGATTCCTTTGGTGCTAAGTCTGTTAGGTGATAAAAATCCTTTGTCGTCCAAGGTATATTAATTTTTTCATATCATTATCATGTGTTGTAAAGAAAGCAGATAAGCATTTGGTTATGGATGGATGTAATTATGGGTATGATGTTGTGGTTGATTTGGAGTGCAGGCTGTGTTGCGCGTGCAGCTTGAGTTGGGACAATGTGGTATCATGAAGTCGGAGTTTGACAGCATGCAGTTGTCATTGAGAGAATTCTACAGTACAAGCCATGATGGTGATGGTGATGCTTATATTTTGATTTTGTTCTGTTGAATATATAACATTATAACATAACAGTAAAGTAATAAGTGGTGGACTGCTGAATGGTGATGATATAATATATTTTGTTCTGTTGTTGGCCTGCCTGCAGGAGATATTTCGTATGGGGCGTTCATGAAGCTGCCAAGAGAGATTCAGGAAGTCTGTATATCTTGCCTCTATACTTCTCCTTCCTAGACCCATCTCTGCTTCAGTCGGTGGCTGCTTGTTGCTTGTGTGAGTAAGAGTACTTGTTGGTTGTAATCATTTGATAGATATAAATATATATAAATAATATATGAATAATATATATGATATGCAGCTGAGGATGTCGATCCATTTCTGTTATTTCGGTTGTTGGAAGTTGTGAGTTGTGGGTACAGAGCTGGACACATCCAGATTGCTGACTATATTAGTTTTCTCATCACGATACCCTCACGATACACAGTTTTTCCTGGTTGCTATTTATTTTTATTTATTTTTAAATTGATTTTGCCAATGCTTATGCTTACGCTTGTGAATTTGCTTAATCATCAGAACATAGTGACAAGTCAAACTCTGGATTATTTAGGCGCGTGACTAGTGGTGTTTGCTGTTGCCTGTCTCAGATTGGGGATGATCATCTTGTTTTGAAGATGGTAGAGGGAACGCTTATTCATCAGATTGTAAGTTGCTTTGTGTGTGTGTATGTTGACTGATGCTTAAATTAATGGATGGTGTGATATTAATATTTTTTTTCAGTCGAATATGAATACAACTAACGAAGCAGGCTTGGAGAATGCATGTGCATTGCTTAGAATGATTACCAGACTTGATTCCAATCCCACAAGGCTTTCTGAAGAGAGCATCTCCAAACTAGGCAACCTCCTTCCAGGATACTTGCTCCATGTTGTGTCTGTAAGTCACCAGCGTTATTATATTCTTAGATCTGATGTCATTTTTGTTTTGCTTGCTTCGTTGGACTTGACTTTTTCTTTATTATGGAGCAGAATGTTGGGAAGAGGAGGATGAAGAAGCAGAAGAAGGGGTTACTATGTTTTGCCGTGTTTTGTTTTGTTGTCTAGGAGTGAGAGAATTGTATATCGTGTGTTGAAGGTGATGAGGACATGGACATGTGAAAAACCAAGGATAATTGCAGTTGTTGGTGTCCTCCTGCTGATGCATGATGAGGATGTTAGAAGAGGTGGTGGCAGTGGCAGTGGCAGTGGCAGTGGTCAAATATTTAAGAAAATAGCAGCAGCACCTAATTGTAAGGAAGAGATTGACGGCATATTGCACAACATAATCAGAGTAATGGTAATCAAACATCTCCAACTTTTTTCTTTCTGTTTTTATTTTTTTAAACCTGATGATCCAGATTGAAGTAAGTACTATTGTACTTGTGTGATTATATATATCTTGACTTGCTTAATGCTTTTCTACATACAGTCTGATGATGATGATGATGATGATGGATACAAGTTGAACATGGAAGAGAAACACAAATTGCAATATGCATATGATCGCCTAAAGATCATTATTGGTGGATAATGTCATTATCAACATTTTGCTTTTAGTTAGTTGAGAGGACTTACTTTGATTCAGAATCGGAACCGGTATTGCGATATTATAAGAACAAGTAACCAGACCGCGGTTCCAATACCGGTTCCACTCGAGTTCTGATTTCGGTCCCGGTTTTTCGGTTATTTGTCCAAACAAAAATTGGTTATAAATTAAGTGAAACTAATGACGATGCAATTCATAGTACTTGCATGTTAAGTTGGCTTCCAAAAAAATATAATATTCAACAATCAAGTTTAAAAAAAAAATATAGCTTTCAAAAAACAAACTCATCCCTGCATTTCAAATTTAATACAATTCAATCAAATTTAATAACAATGTTGCATTCATATGTTGTTTTCTTGACACGTATCTAATTTAATATCTAAACATAAGTTCAAACATTAAATTATATGATGGAAAAAAAAACCTCAAGAAATTTTGTTTTCATAAGTAATATTATTTTAAAAACTGGAACAGAATAATAAAATATGCTGAAATAGAAAAATGTTTTGATAAGGTGTTTTTTCAGGTTTGTATCTAATTCAATATTTAACTTAAATATGATTTTTTTTAAAGATTAAACTGAAGTACAAATACGAAATTTTGACTTCATATAAGTGAATTTTGTTATTTTAAAAATCATGACAAAATAACAAAATGGGCTGAACAGAAAAACAAAAATCAACCTTTTTTTTTTCTTCTTCTTCAGGCTTGTATCTAATTGAATATTTAACCAAAATATGATTTTTTTTTTTTTAAAGTCAAAACTGAAGTAGACACACTAAATTATATGTTGGAAAAAAAATTAAATGATTCCAATTTTATGAGTGAGTTATGCTATTTTAAAAAAAATGGACATAATAACAAAATGTGTGATATGTTGTCTTTCCAAGCTTGTATCTAATTTAATATTTAATCAAAATATGATTTTTTTTTAAAATTCTAAAATGAAGTACAAACACTAAATTACATATTAGAAAAAAAATCAGGTAATTTCAACTTCATATGAGTGAGTTATACTATTTTAAAAGCAAATACAAACAATCTTACACTTCTAGGCCGGTTTTGGGTTTTTAACCGGTTTTTGTTAGAACCAATCCGGTTTTAGAATCGGTACTAGTTTTGCTATAAGTCGAGAACCGGTAACAAAACCGTTTTATTAATTTATGAAAGGTTCAGGTTCAGTTCCAGTTCCAACGGTTCAAAAGTTGATCCCTGAGATACAAACGAAAGGCTCGTGAAGATTTAGGTAGAGAGTAGTTTGTTTGATTCATGACTTCTGCTACTCTCTTAGTCATGTGTTTGTTTCTTTTTGTGTTGGATCCATTAACTTTATATATATTTTCTCATTGATTGATTTATAAATGTCGATTATTTGATGGTTTGGATATGGATTCGTTATAGACAATAGATACCTTGACTTGTAAGCCATATCATATCATGCAAAGCCAAGACAAAACTGCAAAAATGGTCCTGATGGTATGTTGAAAATTTCTATTTTGTTCCAAGAAGTTTTGGATTAACACCACTGGTCCAAAACTTTGATTTTGTTGCAAGTTTGGTCAAAAAATTCTGAAAACATTTAATATGATGAAATTACCCTTTTTATTTTGATTATTCATTTTTTTCATTACAACAATTAAAAAAGAGAAAAACAAAACACATTCCTCACCTCTCCCTCTATTTCTCTTACAGTATGTTCACACAAAAAGTGCAAAAAACTTTTCAGGTGAATCACTCTTGTTCGAACTACAACCTTCTCGTCGAAGCGAATGTCTCATCGAAGCCAATGTCTGAATCGAGAACATTAGTGACTAACAGATCTCCAGTTCCCAAACAGACAATGTAACCACCTTCTCCAGAGCTCCAGGCGAACATATCTAAACCGAAGAACGTGACCACTTTCTCCAGAGCTCTAGTTCCCCACCTACTCCAGTGATGAACATATCTAAACCGAGAAAGGCAGCGAAAGAACTACAACTGTCGAAGCTTTCCCAAACGAAGATAGGGTTTGCAATCCCTAAATCGGTGATTGTGAGAGCGAGGTAACGACAGATGCCGAGGTCAGCGATCGAGGTGGAATCCAACATGGTTTCCGAGGAAGTCGAGTTACAGGAGGCGGTGACGCTGTCCTCCCTCCCAAATGATGAAGACGATGACACTGTTAATAACGGTGAAGGGGGAAAGAGAGAATGGGATCCCTTCGTCTTCTCTGTTGGCCAAATTTGTAAATACCACCATTACGACCAACTGTGTAACAGCCCAAAAACAGTAATAAAAATTTCTTTTAAAAGCTTATCAAATCATTCATTAATTGTTCAAAATCAACACCAAGCCATAATATCCAAAACATCAGAGTACAAATATATCAAATGCGGAAATCATGAAGGAGGATGTCGTGCCATCACGTCGGACCCTTCCCTTTTGAACTGGAAGTACCTAGAACCATAAACATAAACTATAAGCATAAAGCTTAGTGTGTTTCTCAAAATACCACATACACAAAACATATGAGTGTCATAGGCTATCCCCATTGTCTTTCCTTGCAATGCTGAGGGCCAAATCCCGGTCTTACATACAAGTGTCAGGGGCCAGATCCTGGTCTTTCGTTCAATTGTCAGGGGCCAGATTCTGGTCTTCATACAATTGTCAGGGGGCAGATCCTAGTCTTTCATACAATTTCCAAGTGTCAGATCTTGTTCTTTCATACAAGCATCACAGAGACAACTAGCATTCCACATAACAAGTAATAGGCCGACATTAGTGCCTTCGACCCATGGATATAGTGAGAAAACTCACCTCAATTGCTGAAAAATCAGATAAATGCTCGGGTTGCTGGACCGAAAAAATTCCCCGTGCTAATTATACAAACAAATCCTCAATTAATAATTGGGACATAAACCATAGTTGAAAATCTACTTTGCTTGTCCAATATCTAAGGTAAAAGGCCAATTTACCCTTTTTCAGTTAGCCCAAAAATCCTAGGCCAAAACCCCAAAGGTTATCCAAAGTCCAACATGGGCCCAAATCCAAAAGTGACCCAATATCATAAAAGTCTATGGTCCAAACCCAACAAGAAAAGCCCAAAAATTTAAGGCCCAAAAGAATGACTCATTGCTGGTACTAGGTCGTACGCCACATGTACAATCTTGTACGCCCTGCTTGCAAGTCCGAAGTGAAAAGGAACGGGGTCATGGTGCATTACGCGCGGCGTACTAGATTTTACGCTCAATGTACGCATCCAGAAGCAAAACCCTCATTAAGGTCTTAATTCCTTAAGACTTTACGTCCAAACTTCATATATGAGCTTAATAAGACCTCTAAGGGTATAATTTTTGCAAGGCCATAAATTTGAAAACTTTATGCCTTTGCATGGCTACAAAGTGCCCAACACTAAAAACCTAACTTGCTCCATCCTTTTCAACACCAATACTCATCCAAGAGGACAAACTAAGATCCAAGCTTGCATTTTTATGACTTAGAATACCCTAGAATGTCTGAAAGGACAACTCAAAGGCTTTGGAGTACCTCATACTCACAAAGCCCTTGGTTTTAGGATAAAAAGGATGAAAATCAAGGCTTAACTAAGATCAAAAGAAACATAAGCCAAGTTTGGAGCTTTATACCTCCAAATGGTGCATAAAGGAGAGAATGTGTTGGATCCAGAGTCTTGAGAGCAAAGTTACCTCCTTGATGATCCTCCTTCACAAGCAAGAAAGCTCACAACTCACTCAAAAGCTCAAAATATTCAAAATAAGCTAGGGTTAGCAAGGTAGGTCGATTCTAGGAGTGAAGGCTGATAAGAAGAAAGGTTTTGGGTGGTGCTTAAAAAGTGCACAAACCCTAAATATTAGGGTTTGGTCCAACACTGTGTACACCCTGCATACAAAGGTACGCCCAACGTACATGCCCGAGGCCAGGTACGCCCAACGTACCAAGGTGTACGCCTAACGTAGCCATCTTGCATGTAAACTTTACGAAAATGCCATTGGGGACCAATTTTCCAAACCAATCACAAACCAAGGGTCAAAAATGAATACTTGGAAATTTAGATGTTACAACTCTCCCCCACTTGAACTAGACTTTGCCCTCGAAGTCTGCTGACGCGAACAAATCTGGGTAGTGCTCGTGCATCTCCGCCTCGGGCTCCCAAGTCCAATCGGAACCTTTATAATGTTGCCATTGGACCTTAACGAGAGATACATCCTTGTTGCGCAGAGCCTTCGTCTTCCAATCGAAGATCGCCACCGGTCTCTCCATAGAATTTAAACGAACATCAACTTATATGTTATCCAAAGGAACAACTGTGGACTCTTCGGCTACACACTTCCAAGGCTGAGACACATGGAAGATGTTATGGATCTGGTTGAGCTTATCAAGAAGATCCATCTGGTATGCAACCCTACTCACCCGGGCTGATATCTTGAAAGGACTAATGAATATGGGGCCAAACTTGCCTCGCTTTTGAAATCGAATGACCCATTTCCAGAGTGACACCTTCAGAAGGACCAAATCTCCCACCTGAAACTCAGGTATGAACATCATCAGTCTGCATAACTCTTCTTTCGGATTTGTGCGACTCGCAACCTGTTGCACACCTGCTGAATCAACTCAGTGGTCTTGATTACCACCTCGGTACTCCCCACGACCCTGACCTTTTTGTTGGGTTTTTATTGAAAAACTAGTTTAAAAAACATAACATTTTGGCAATGGAACACTTATAAATTTTAATAACATAAACAAGTTAAACCCACCAAGGATCAACTTGCAAAGTTTGGAAAGAAAAACAACACCGACCAAAGAAGAGATAAAGAAATAACAACCTTTGTAGTTCTATGGGTCCTCTTAGGATGCTTGAAAGTTGATGAAGAATGATGAACTTAAGAAACACCAACAAAAAGCCAACTTGATGTAGATGCTAGTTTAAAACTCTTAACTCTTAAGCTTGAAGTTCATAGCCAAAGTATGAACTTCAAGAGAGAATAAAAACAAGTAATATCTTCAAGACTTGAGAGTAGGGATGAGCATAGGCGGGTACCCACCTTAATTATCTGGAACCGAAACCGAAACCGAAACTAGCGGTTCCTAAAATGTTGGAACAATAATCAGAATCGACAGGTAGCGGTTCCATTAGAGGGTACCCGGTTCGTTCAATTTGTTGAATTTTTAAATCATTTAAAACTATATCTATGAGTTAGCATTCAAAGAATTGAAGTCCATAGCTAAACAAATATTTTTGTGAGTTA